CCTCCAGGATTCAGTTATGGTGCGTAGCTCTGAATGTTTACAGAAAACCGCCACAGGGTCACATTTCCATAAAGGAACTCTTCTCTTTCACCCACATGAAATCACATGAAAATGCTCAGAAGAAATAAAACCTCCTCCGGTACCTGGTAGATGAAGCAGACCGTCGGGGCCTGGCAGCCGTACAGGAAGTGCACGTCGATGACCTGCAGCTCCTCCAAGCGGATGTTGAAGGCCTTGAGCTCGCGGTTGTCCCGGTCCAGAGGGATCACCTTGAACAACCCGTCGTACAGCCGCAGTCCGATCATGCGGCATTCTGGGTCCACGATGCCGATAATACCCGTTTCTGACGGGCGCCCGATACGATCCTGCCAAAGAGGAATCAGATGATCGGTGAGCTGAAGCGTTAAAACCAACAATGACCCGTTCTCGTGTGCACACAGAGAGTCTCCGGTCACATCTTCTCATGTTTATTGAGAAGATGTGAGAACCCTCCAGAAGCTTGTGACCCACCTGGACGTTCCCGTGGGCACGAGTGATGATGTCGATGCTCTCCCCGGTCTGTTTGTATTCAAGGATGCAGGCGTTGTACTTGGATGTGAGAATGAACAGCAGGTCTTTGCTCTCGCCCTGAACAACAACAGGAAAGGACAGCGAAGTCGTTAAACATGCAGCGGCAGGCTTCTAATTAAACTGCAGCAGCCTCGACCGGCCTGTGAATCCACTACACAGTCAATAAAAGCTACTCTGCAGAGACCGACGTCTGTGTGCTGAGCACAGAGGCAAAGACTTCCTTTGCAAACTCCTATAGATTAAAGGAACGGCGTACTGCGCCGCACAGCCAAGAATAAGACACGGAGGAATTCATGATGGCAGAAGAATCTAATAAAAACAAAACCTGTTCTTGCTTCTTGAGGTGCATTCTGTTTCAAAGAAGAAAGTATAGTGCAGAGAACGGAAAGCAAAAACACTATACTTTCAATAAAACAAGCCTCAATAACAACAGTTATTCCGACACACAACATGACTTTAATATTTTAAATGAAGCGACACCCACCTTCGGCCTGAAGAGCTCCATGACCGCGATCTTCCCGTACATGCCGACCTCCTTGACGGGCCGCAGTCCCTCCGCCGTCACCACGTAGATCTCCAGCCGGGTGTTCTTGGCTATGAGCAGGTTGAGGTCGTCGGCGGAGGTGAAGTGACCTGGGGACACGGCAGCGTTCATCTCGGGTTTAAGGTGGAGGGATTCAAAAAGGTGGATGGACATCCACGCATCAATATCCACAACATCAAACAAATCCCAGAAAAAAGGTTTTTGATTTTAGGGCGTGATTATTGGTGCTACTAAAAGATATTTCATTTTGGTTTTATTATTAGGAGTTCATGCTGATTTACATATTTACAAGAAACTTTGGATCTGAAGTTTTAAAGGTCTCAAGATAAACCTAAAAGATCATGTTTGTTCCAGATCAACACTCACATTTAATAATAATAACATTACTTTCACTATGCAGTTTTAGTTTGGTTTTGCCCTGAATTTAACTAAGGAAACGTTGTTTTTTTGTTAAATAATACAAAAGTATTCTAATTACTATAATATGATAACATTTTAAAGATGTAAAACAGAGGAAGGAAAAAATATATACTGCAACAACCAGTTTGTTAATCAACTACATGGTGATTAATTAATATTCATTTATTAAGTGAAAAACAACATGGTCTTTGCTCTATAAAATATATAAATACAATAGTAAGAAGAGGAGAGAATAAGAAAATCTAAGATATGCAGTTGGGCTTTGACAACTGATTGGCAAATTATTAAAACAATCAATTGAGCAAACGAGTTAACAGCTGCAGACTTTACATCTGGATATCGTCATCCATATTTAATCAGGAATCAGAAAGTGACAAGTGACTGGTGTATGTGTGAATCCTCACTACAGGGAAAAGCTGGCAGTGAAGCATTTCCACGCTGAGACGTGTGAATACGAGAGAATGCATCAGGTGCCCGGTTTAAAAAGTATTTTTCCTTTTCTTATTTCTGTTCTTCAACAGCCCCAAGACCTCCGAAAACAAAGCACCTGATAAAAATAGCAGCAGCAATAATAGCTTAGCTAGCAGAGCACATTATATTTTCATTTGTATATATATATATATATATATACACACACACACACACACATAAACACACAATATATACTTTTCCTGAATAGTGGCAGGAGAAATATTGCTGTGTATTAAGCGAATAAATACGAAAAGTAGTTGGACAGCTTCTAATATTTCTTTCTTTGAGCAGGATCAGTAATAGCTTAGCTAGTAGAGCACATATATATATATATATACATATACATATATATATATACATATACATTCATACATACACAGGCACTCAGCATTACAGCATACACCTTCCTGCATGTACAGTGATACATGTACTCACAGAGGAATAATACTATTAATAAGATAATCAAACCAACTCATGTTTGCAATAAATAATACAATAATAGCCTTGTTAGAATGATGTTACTATCATACATTAAAGTTATAAGTAAAAGGGAAGGTGGACATTCACGTTCATGGAGTAGGAGTAGTAGTACTAATAGTCACATGCACACGTTAAAATGAGAAATTAATGCCACACGTGTCTGTGGCATGATTTAATTTAGCTTCAGGTCCACGGGGAGAGATGTGATTTGAATACACAACAACACGTAAACAGAGAGTTCAGATTAACGTGTAAAGCAGCCAACGCGACCACAGCTAACGTTCGCAAGCCGAAGAACCAGCGAGCCGTTGCGACCAGCTCGAGTGAACGTTGGAACGGACGTTGCATAGATTAAAGAGGTAAAAAGAGGTGTGCGTCGTGACTTTGCGCGTGCAAGCTGTTGCTAAACAAACAATGAAACGTTTGGGTTAGCAGAGCAACAGCTAGCGGCTACCACAGGCCCCTTTTCTGGAGCGTTCGGGTGGCAGCGCGGGAGCTCTGCTAGCACGCAGGTGGCAAAAAGAAACGGTCACAACAAACAGCGCTTTCGGGTTTTTTTTACCTGTGACGCAGGCGTTCACCGCCGTCGGCTTCTGGGCTGTTACCACGTAGTTGTACGACATTTTTTCGACAACAACAAAAAACAAACACCAGATAAGTGTTTTAATCTCGCACAAGTGACAAAATCATTGATAATAAAATCTTCCGGAAGTAGTTAGCGCAGCCGTTTGAGCATGGAGCGCAGACCGGAAGTGGTAGCTGCAGGGAAAGGAGCGCCCCCTGGTGTCTCGGAGGCCCGTTGGTCCCAATGGGTCACACCACTAGTGGTGTAAAGTAACAATGTACAAAGGATCACTGTTTTCTCCAGCTTTATACTTCTATTCCACAACTGTTCAGAGGGTTTGTTTTAATGTACATAATGTTTTTTTTTTTAATAAAATACGTGTGGTGAATGTTATATTGTAAAAGTGGCAAGATCCCACTGCGTTTAAAAAATAATATGTCTATGGAATTTTCTTATTCTCAAAAAATAAAATAATAAGAGAACACAAACATAGAAAAACAGATCAGTAGAGAGGATGTTACAGGAAATAGTCTCTGTTGTCTGTAAAATACCAATAGAGATTATAAGAGATTATATTATATCCTGGTTCAGATGACTCCTTGTAAAATATTGGAAGAAGATCAAGGTAATTAAGATAGCCTTGTCCCCTAACTTTAAATAACTTGTTCACTTGGGTGATGAACAACATTGTTCATTGTCTGCTGAAGGTATTGAAAGCTTCCATAAAATGAATAAACCAGTCTCTGTGCAACTGCGTCCTGAAGTTGTTTCCTTTTTTTTTATTTCGCTGTCATTACATGACACAACAATCATTCCCATCGAGCAACAGCAAACCACTGAGAAGAACTCACATAGATATTGTCAGGGATTTAAATAGACGAGCACACCTGGTGGTAGAAAAGGTAATACATGTAGAAATGTTTAGTGTTGTGTGATGTTAGGTATTAGTTATTACATTTGTATGTTCGATGAAATGATTGCAATATAATCAAATAACAATTTATAGTCAGGTTAATCATATAAACACAGTACACATTAACATTCTATCACAATGTTATGTTAAAACTTGGGGACGGATACTAATTGCCCCAAAGAGTTTTTTGGGGAGTTTTTTCTCCTGTATTGAAGGTATTAAATGAGCAACGATGAAGTGTGATCATGTGTTGTAATTAACGTGTACTAGTTATAAGATGAAGACAAACTATGCATGCTATGTTATATTTACTCATTAAGGTATCTACATTGAATGTACTGGAATGTGAGGGAAAGACAAGACAGTGAGGTTTCCGGTTGCAGCAGCAGACTCACACTTGGATGTGAAGGGGACAAACCAGGAGGAGACACGTTTGAAGAAGAAGCCAATGACATTCAAATGCACCCCAAAGACACACTCCGGGAGGGCCTTTAATACCACGAGAATCACTAATCCCAATTAGAAAATCACACATAATATTTAAAAATGTTGCCCATTAGGCCCACTAGTAGGTGTTGCACGACCACTAGCTATGTTAGTGTGGAGAGCAGGGCCCTCTGCTGCCTCTTTGGCATTGTTACAGTTACCATATATACTTTTCCTGAATACAGTGGCAGGAGAAATATTGCTGTGTATTAAGTGAATAAATACGAAAAGTAGTTGGACAGCTTCTAATATTTCTTCATTTGATCAAACATAATATGATAAAATGACTGAAATATTTTACCCAGTTAGGGACCACAGTTTGTATTATTCTTGAATAGCATTCGTTGTTAAATAAAGATCAACTTAAAAAGGGAGGATCTTTTTCAAAATACTTACGTATTACATGATTTATTTGATTCCCACTTTGCTTCATACACGCAGGTTTGTTGCTGTGTGTTTCATCATCTAGGTTTTATTTTATTTACTATTTGTGTTGGCCGGTTGTTGCTGGTCTCTCGGTAAATATCCTATTCCACCTGAACGCACCACACCGCGCAGCGCCGTTGCCGTGGAAACGGGACTCCGCGTATCCAACGCTAAGTTTAATAAAACGGTTCTTACACGAGTCTGACATTGAACACAATGGAGACGGCGGAGAGTACCGAAGAAACGGAGAATAAAACTATCGAAGTAACTGTCGTGCGTGGAAATTACCTGCTGAGCTCGTTAAACGTGAGTTACTGTTGTAAAAGAGACCAACTTCACACATGCTAACTGGTTAGCCAAAGAACTTAGCTTAAATGCTTAAGTGACCGAAACGTTATTGTGTAGTTTAATGGGAACACGTCGTGCGGTCCCTCTCTCGTCAGCAGGGGAAGAAGACCGGCGTCTTCAGGAGTTCAGTGCAGGTGGAGGTGGACGGAAATGTGCTGGGAGAGTCGGAGAAGAAGGAGGTGCCGCAGGTGGCGCAGCGCGTGGACTACGACTTCACCTGCGGCCTCCTGTGCCGCGGTGACGCGGAGGCCCTCAGCGAGCTCCTCAGCAAACCCCTCATCCGTAAGCCGCGTCCTCGGACCCGACCGGGGAAACATCTCGGGTCCACTTTGGTCAAGTCTCGTCTAAAAATGGGTCCTCTAGCGTCCCCCTCCAAGGCCACAGCTCATTATGTCCCGATTTAGTTTTCATTTATATAATGTTTCGTATAGCTGCCATGCAACTTAGTGCTTTAACAATACCAACAAGTTATTGTCCCACTGCCTCCACATTTTCATTCATGGTTGTTGTTGCAGTTCAGTAGAAACGTCTTAAACAATCTTTGACACACAGATTTCGCCATCATACGACGGCCGTTTCCACGTCTCTGTTTTGATGAAACTCGGTGGCGTTGTGTTGTCAGTGACGGTGAGGGAGTTCCTGCCCGAGGAGAAGAAAGCTGTGGCGAGGACGGCGGTGGTGGGACAAGCTGTGGTCGACCTGCTGCCGCTGCTGCAAGGTGCCCGTCCGAGGCGACTTTGTTTTCGGAGCTTTTTTAAAAGCAGGACTTGCTTTGCTGGAACGATTTGCTCTTCTGTGTTTAGGTCAGTGCAGCTTCTCCGCCAAAGTCCTGCTGAATCCAGTGTCCGGGTCCGCGGCCAAAGACACCACCCCGGTTTGTTGATATTCAAACAATATCTCTCACTTATCAGTGGGGGCAGAACAGAAAGTGCACAGTCAAAAGGAGAAAGCAGCACGTTAACTGTTACTTTACATTTGCATCTGTGTTTTGACAGAAGATCATTGTGTGTGATTGAAGGGAAATGGTTAAAAAAAGGATGTCAGTGGACTCATCACAATAAGGCCCTTTAACATCTGACACGGATGCAGCCATTCATGCAATGAACTCCTCTTTTTGAGTGCCGGACGTTGCCACAATTCCCTTAAAGGGGATTTAAAAAGTTTATTTCGTGCTACGTGAGGGATGAAAATAGGGAGACACAACAGAGACAGTTATCTGTAAATCTTTATGCTTCACACCATAGCCATGCCTTTACCAACGCTGGTGTTTATTTAGTGGATAAGCCCTAAACGGACCTTCGCGTGTGTTCTTTACTCAGTTTCTAGGGCGTTTACCATTTCACAGAACTGTTTTTTTTGTAATATTTGTATCCATGATATATGAACTTGTACCCTTATCACTGGTTCACTCAAAGAGCTGGTGGATTGGCAGCGGTTCCTTCGGGATTTCTTTAATCAGTGAACGTTCTACAGTCACAGAGCAGCCTGAATGTGGAGACAGCAGTTAAAGAGAGACATAAGCAGTTGGCCAGAAACTTCCTGTTAAAGTGGAAAAATCAGGTAAATCATCAACTCACCAGTGGACAGTTAAGAGTTTGACTGCATATCAAACCTCCGACGCGTCACCGACTGACACCTTTTACCGCCACACGGAAAAGGTGTCTCCTATACGTCACCGTGTCTATTTACACCTGCTCACGCATCCACGTGGAAGTGATTAAAAGAAGGACGAGAATAATTGTAATCTACTCAACGATAGACTTGGATGGACACGAACAAAAATAATGGCGCTACCAGTTGGTGATTGTTGGATGGTGATTGTTCCCGGTGGTCTCACCCCCTCTAGCAGCCCACCCTGTGCGTGTGTGTCAGTGTGTCGGATCCGCTGCTCTCCGAGGCCGAGCTGTCGTCCTCCAACCTGCTGAGGGTTACCGTGGAGACGGCCTTCTCCGTCCCCAAGTCGTGGTCGTTTGAGTCGGGCTCCGCTCCCTGCAAATACTCTGCCGCCCTGGAGGTCCCGCTTACTGCACAGGTGAGTGTGTTATTTAGTTTGACGACACGATCTTAGAAATCAGACCAACCTCCGGTCTCCCCGGAGTTAAACATCTCAACGCTGTGGCTGTTCGATTCCCCAGAAGGATCAGGCGCTGCTGTTCTGTGAGGGGCAGCTGATGGCCGGCGGGCAGAGGGAGCAAAATGGCCGACGGAGGAAGAGGCCCCATCGGGCGCTGCTGGTCCCGGCGAACCACTTCCTGCCCGCCGCCTTCCTGCAGGCGGAGCCCGTGGAGGAGGAGGACGGCGAGCTGACAGGCTACGAGGTAACCGAGTGTGGCCCCTCTAAATACAGAGCTGAGCGAGGAGGACGTCCTCTTTTATGGACATGGGCGGACTTTGAGGAGGACTTTGAGAGACTTACCCAGGTGTTTGAGAAGTTTGAACAATATTACAAGTAGAAATGGTGGATATTCCTAACAGCATATGTAATACATGTACCAGTTCCGTTCCTGAGTGTCGACTTGTTCCTTCAGGACCAGGCGTTTCGTGAAACTGTGGAGACCACAAAGAACAGGGTGAGCTGGGACACGGAGATGCCCTGCTTCCTGGACGCGGGAGGAACGAGCAGGTCACACACACACACACGTACACACATCCTCCTACTTCACAGTGCTGCCTCTTACACACGTTTCTTACATTATGATTTATTACATTACACACGGTTGTTCGACAAGGGGAAAGTCAGTCACCATTTCACCCGGTTCTTTTGGCTGTGTCCGGGCACCGTTAAGGATCGAAGAGTGTTCTGTAAGGCTTGGTTTCCCCATTCATCGCCTCTGAGGCCAAATAAACTTGTGTTAAAGGCTCAACACAAGAATAAGTCCCAGAGCGATGCAGAAAGCTGCTCTCGAATTGCCCGCGAGAGGATTGGGTGCATAAGGAGAACCCGTATATCAACGTATATTAAACAGAGCCAGAAATACAGCAGAAAAAATAATCAAAAAATCTGTGCGTCGACGTTCAGGCTGCGGCAGAAGATCACAGAGAGCAGACTGTGGCCCGTGGAGATAATGAGGCTGACAAAGGCAGCAGAAACCAAGATGGTGAGACAGCTTTGTAATATAAGGAAGGGTTCAGAATTCTCTCTGAGCTGTATTGTGTGTATAAATATAAAGGTATAAATGTGTGAGAATAGCTGGCCGAGGGGAACCTGGAGATCCCCTTCCACGGTGTGGCGTTTGTGGACTTGGGGCGGCTGCTGTTCCCTGGAGTCCGCCGCATCCGGGGAGCCTACAGCATTCAAACCTTCTCCGAGGCTGAGCTGCTGAAAAAGGTGGATCCTTAGGGATCCTAATAGTTCTTTATCCACCTTCTGGAAATACATTTTTTGGGCTTTCTTAATGATCAATACCAGCTCCACCCCGGGGGGGGGGCCCAGGACCTAAATAACTTGTTTCTCATCGATCTTTTACTTCAAGGCCAAGCGGAGTGGCAGTGTGTTAAAGGAGCACGTCAAGTTTGCAGCTGACCAGGTCAAAGGTCGTGCAGGCTCTGCTGCGGGCTCCCACAAGGCGAGGGCGCGGGGAGCCAAGGAGTCCAAGGAGCCGGCCAAAAAGGTCAGGAAAGCTGGCGTGGTGGGAGGAGATTTGTTCGCATGCATTTCCAGGAGCTTGGAGACATGTTCTGTCGAATAAGAGCTTTTCAACCTCTTTGAACCTTTTATTTCACATCTGCGACAGGCTCATTGTCTACGTGATTTGTTGTTACCTGCTATATTAATGCTGAACATGGTGCAGTTCACACTCCACATGCAGGTGGTGCTTGTACAAGGTGGGACCCTAATGTCACCTCTTCCCATTCCGGCAGCAGCACGCCAGTCAGAGCAGAATGACTGCAGATGATGTGGGGGCCAGCGGGGGGGCCGAAAGTGTGCTGCACCTCAATTTGGAGGCAGATGTAAGCTTTCATGGAACAACAACTCTGTACCGTGTTACAACATCCTTTACTTTAAAATGGGGTTGTAGTTACAGTCTATTATGTAGCGTGTTAGCTTCTTGTTCCTGTTTGTTTTAGACGTATGCCGAGGCCCGAACTTATATCATCATTGAGATAACCTTGGAGAAACCACTGGTACCCAAAACCCCCGCAGAGGAGCTGTCCAGTAGGTAATGTGTTGGATCAAACCTGCCGGGCTCAGTGAGTGTGACCGGCTCCTTTGGTTACTCATTTCGTCCAGGCTGTGCTGAGATGTGTTTGTATTTCCTGCAGGGTGAGGGCGTTGATCCCTCCCAAACCTCCACACCCAGCGGGTCCCAGCAGAGCGGAAACAGTAAAACGCACACCGTCACACACACACACGGACACACAAAATGAACCACAAACCGGCGGAGAATCTGCCTTTCTTGCTGATGTCTCTCTTCCCGCAGGCCGTGCTGGACTTCCACAGGCAGGTGGGCAACGTGGTGACCCATGTTTCGGACCAGTACGGGGAATTGTTGGCAGCCGGGTGGAAGGCGTCAGAAAACTGCAGCCGGGAGCAGATGCACGTTGAGCTGATGGGATCGCTCAACGACTCCGGGAGATACTTCGCCTTCAAGGAGCAGATGAAGGTCGGAACACGCCGATGGATAAAACTCCAGAGTGGAGCTGTGGCCCAGCGGGGTTTGTTTTCTCACTGTAGAGGTGGCCCTCCTGTGACTATTTGACCACATACGTGTGTCCGTGCGTGTGTAGCATGCGGTGGTGAGGATCGTGCGCGACAAAATGCAGCGGACGGAGCCCATCAATGACCCTCAGGAGCTCAAACGGTTTGTCAGCAAGCTCTATGTCTACCTGGCGGACGAGATGCACATAGCTCACAACAAGGTAACGCACACACACACACACACACACACACACACACAAAGTGTATGTGTTTCTACCGTAGATTTGTATTCATTTCTGTAAATCCTTCTCATCTCGCCCCTCTCCAGATCTACTCGCATGACGTCGTTGATGACTCCCCGGATGAGATCCAGTTGAGTTCTTCTCAGCTCAGACATTTTGCCAGAGAGGCTCAGCTCGTTGGGGATTATCAGCAGGCTGTGCAGCACTACCAAGAGGTACAATAGCAGTAACAAGCCTTTTTTCCTCCTCACTCTAATGAGAAAAGAGCTTGCTGAACTACTTTGCCGATTTGTCATCCGGTTTCAGGCCCCCAAATCAATTACTTCACACTTCTGATTGGACTGAATTCTCCTTTTTGTTTGTCCTGCAGTTGGTGGTGAGGGAGCCGACTGACCCCTCCCACAAGTTTGAGTGGGGAAGCCTTTACATGCTGACCGGAGACTACATGGAGGCCAGAGAGTGTTTCCATGACGCCGTTTCCGTCCAGCAGGCACACAGGCCCAGGTTAGAAGTGCTCCGCAGCTCAGAAACAACCACTTATTGTCCATAAGTAAAGAAATGCAAACTGTGTGACATCACAACTTTGCATCTAAACCGACGCCGAATGAAAAAGGTCGAATCCGGAGCTCGACGTCACTTTTCTTCGGAAGGGGACTCGTGGATATATTTTCAGAGGCAGCCAAGCGATCTTCGAGTCAAAACCCGTGTGTCTGTTTCTCCTTGTTTCTCCAGCCTGATGATGTGCGGCGTCTTGGCAGCGATGTTTGAGGAACACGAGGAGGCCCGGACCTTCCTGCAGAGAGCCACCAGCATAGAGCCGCCCAGTGTGGTGGCCTGGACGCTGCTGGGTGAGTCCTGCTCACTGCTCTATCGCCTGTGACCCGGCTGCTAACACACAGCACATACTAGCGGGGCTCCTTCTGCGCAGAGAGAATACGAACCAACAATATCTTAATTTACTAGATAGATCTAGATGTTCCCTGGTTTCTTTAATCAGAATTCAAGGCACCATTGAGCCCCAACATTGTACTTCCTTAACTAGATGGGAACATCCCTCTTTATAAGATTGAACCCATTATTATCAGCCGTCACAATCTCTGACCCTAATTGCCTGAGACAGATGCATGCTGGGAGTTGCATAGCCCGATTTCAGGTTTCTATCTGCTGCCCAGGTTTGCACCATGAGATCCAGAGCGAATCCATCCTGGCAGAAAGCACTTTCCTGGAGGCCAGAAGGCAGCTGAGGGCGAACGGAGCAAAGAAGCGAACACAGAGCGCGGAAGAGGAGGAGGAGGGAGAGGAGGGGGAGGAGGAGGAGGAGGAGGAGGAGGAAGAGGTGGAGGAAGAGGTGGAAGAGGAGGAAAGACAAAGGAGGAGGAGGAGGAGGAGGAGCAAGACCAGCGAGACGACGAGGAGAAGACACCGCTGCATGTCCGTCTCCCGGCGATGAGAAAGTGAGCGGCAGTGGGACTCTTCTTCTGGATGAAGTCACGTGTTTTTCTCTCTTCGGGTGAAGAAGGAAGTTTGTTTACACCGTTCATTCTAACGGATGTTATTATGAATCTACACATGGAATACACAACGAAACACACTGAGATCTGTTAATGATCACATACAACTTATTTTTTATTGGTAGAATTTATCACGAACGATGTAAATAATAAATGATCCCTTCGTCATTCTCTCTCAGATCCACAGTGCAGAGACCAGGAGCAGGACCGGAACCAGAACCCGGACTCTGTCTCAGAGGTGCAAGGAGAGCCTTCGGTGAACATGAGCTCCAGCTCCATATCAGCTCCAACTAAACTCTCCTCCACCATCTACACGGAGGCGGCTCAGTTCCTGCTGCAGAACTCTGCTCTGCAGGTAAAGGACACTCAGGTGGCTTTGTGAGTCCAACGCTCGGTATCCCTAGACTGAAAATGTCTTCTAGTAGGCTCATAATCGTTTCCTAGTCAGCCGTCACTGTCCCTACTGTGGTCAGATGGCGGAGCGAGCCCTGTCCCTGGAGCTGCTGTCAGACGGCGGTCCCAGCGCCTCCTACCCTCTCCTCCTGGCCCGGCTGCAGCTGCTCCGAGCGGACTACCGCGGCGCCGCCGACAGCCTCCAGGAGGCGTTGTCCGACAGCGACGCGTGGGCGCTGAGCGGCCACTGCCACTTCCTGCTCGGGGCCTTCACTGACGCCCGCAAGAGCTACGAGTGGAGCCTGATCTTCCCGCAGCCGCCATCAGACTGTCACCTCGTCCTCCTGCGCCTGGGATCCATCTACCTCCAGCAGGAGAAGGTCAGGTGTTCCCTCCCCCTCCCCCCCGAAACGGCCCCTTGTGAACAACCCGAGTGAGCGCGTCCCAGGGCGGAAAGATCCCAGAATCCACATTTACTGTTTTGCATTTCACTGCAAACTGCAGTGTAATTAAATCCCCTTTTGTGTTTTCTTTTTTTGGGGTCTGTCTTTCAGTATGAGGAAGCCAAAGGCGTGTACCTGCGGGCTTGTGAGGCGTCTCCGTCCTGCCTCACCTGGCTGGGCCTGGGCACCGCCTGTTACCGGGTAAAGTTCCATCTCCACACATTCACACGAGGTTCTATTGAAAGCACACAAAGCGGTTAAATTTAGTCGCTGTTTGAGGTGGGTAACGTTGGGGTTATACTGCCCTCATTCCACCGTGAACGGAGAACGGAGAGCTCAGGTTACTGAAGTGTTCTGTGGGCTGGTTTTCTTTTGCTTCGGTAGAGGTGAACCCCGCTCGTGTTCCGTGTGTGTGTGTGTGTGTGTGTTTTGTAGCTGGAGGAGCTGTGTGTTGCTGAGGAAGCTTTGACTGAGGCCAACCACCGGAACTGGCAGAACGCAGAGGTGTGGGCTTACCTGTCTCTGGTCTGCCTCAGGGTGAGTGCTGACCTGGAAAAACACACCAGTGTCCCAGTTCAGGCTTGGCATCGTCGAAGCGGGACAATAATCCCTAAAAAATGTCGCAAAGAAATAACTGTGAGCTGTACGCTTCTACATCATTGTTGGCTGTCATCGCTTTCATTACCTATTAATCCTTCCGTGGGCTTTGATGTGTGATGATACCGTGTTGGATTTATTGTTCCCAAACAACCGGCTGTCAGACAGCAGCTGGGAGCTCGACATAGAAACAGAGGGCACCATTTCTGAAGTGATGTGCCTCGACGTGAAAAAGTCTGAGATTGGAGGCTTTGATCAAGTTTATTGCTCAATTCTATGTATACCTCTTCACCTTTTCTCCGTCTGCCGCTGGGTTTTCCCACGCCGGCCACAGGAACCTGAACTAACCAGACCTTTTGTTTTCAGTCGGGCAGACAAGAGGAAGCGGAGCAGTTTCATAAATATGCAACAAGGGTGAGTTTGTCTGCTGTTTTAGACAATAGTTCATTGTATCTTTTAAGGTGGGGGGGGTTGTCAAGGAATCAACCTCATTATTTCACCTCGAGTAAAATACTTCCACTTACATTTACTAGTTTAATTTTTTATTTCACATAAAGACCCCACACCCCTTCTAATGAAAAGCTCTTCTCATTTCTTGGCCTTTAGTTCAACCTGCAGGAGGAGCCGTTGCTCAGAGAGTTCGCTGAGCTGAAGGAGCATCTCCGCTTCAGGACGCTGGCGTCCTGCTTTGGGACCAGCTCTTAAAGTACATTTCATGCCGAACACACAAAAGACGTTTTTATTGTATTTTTAAGCATGTAACACGGTCAGGTTTCACAGACTGTTTAGTAACTGTAATAAAGTCAAACAATGTTTAGTATCCACATTACAAACAAACTCAAAGCAACGCAAATAGTCCCAAATGTATACAAAACAACCGCAATATTCTTTTTAAAAAATGCATCAGGAAGACAAAAGGGAAGAGGGCATGTGGTATCACAGAACATTAGAAATCGTCTCACTTCTCTCGTCGCTTTCACCTGCCGAGACCTCGTAGTTCTAAAACGTCTCGGCAGATTTTGGCACAATCCTTCCTGCGCTGGAAAGGAAATGTTCTGTTCGATGTGTCTCAATTACAATCCTGTCAAATCTATTTACAATGCTAATTTTTACATTAAATGTCCTATTTCAAACGAGTGTTCCCAGAGCGCCATTGGTATTTTCTTGGCAATTGCAGAGTGCATTGACGTGCCGCTCATGGACGCACGCACTGTTCCCCTGCACGGATCCTTCACCGGGACGCCTTTTCGTTGCCTCGCGCTCTCGGTGGGGGGGGTCACTGTCTGACCCGAGCGAACAGCTCCCGCAGCCACGGCGAATCCTCGTAGAGCCGGGGGTCACCCAGGTACTCCGACGTCCTCTTGTACAAGTAGTAGTACAGCACAGAGGCTGTGGGGGGGAAACATACGGGGGGAGGGTTTTAATCACACAGAAAATATTAGTAGTATTAGTGTTTTATTCAGTCATCACACGCAATACAATAAATGAAGCCTTTATACAATCGGGTATACAATATTACTGAAAAGGTACAAGGGCGATGCTTCTATATTCACATCCATTAAGTTACCCTCCAGGAAAATAAATAACGGCATCACCACTAATCTGCAAACAAATGAAGTGTATCATTTGTCTTCTGTCTCTAATAAGCAACTTTAATGAAGAATTAACTGCACATTACTCCTATTTCTGCAAACTCTAGTCATGTTCTTCGTTAAGAATTCAAGAAAATCCACTTGGCTCAGTTTGAAGAGTCCTTCACACTGGATCCAAAATCCATCAGCACACTGATGAAGACTGTTTCCATATCGTAGCGTCCCTTTCTACCAGCGTTCACAGCGTCTTCAGAAAGGTTCCCGGTGAAAGAGACTCTGCGACGTAAGCGTGAGTCACGTAACCGCCTGGGTGGGTCTTAAGTAGCAGACATAAAACATGCCGACAGCCCATGCGCACACTTAATAAGCCATCAGAGGAGAACAACAGGCAGACCACTAATCCTGTTATACACTTATGAGCTTACACGCGTATGAACATCACACCCAGGGTGGTGACGAGGGCCAGAGACCCGCTGATGGAGCTCCCCTAAAGCCTCAGTCAGCGGCCCTCCTCAGGGGTGACCACACTGACCGGGTGGAATCGGCTTTTGGGTCAGATTGTCTGTGAAAAGTTATCCGGTTCACAGAACTTTGTTGGGTTACTAAGATAAAAAACATCGGTAAACACCCCGCTCATGGATTTCAAAGCTTTAACGTTGCTAGCAGGTGGCTGCAAAAGGTCCTCAGGTCCGCTATCATCATAAAAGTGCTTTTCAATTGTTGAGATTCTCTTTGATGAGCAAGGTGTGTAATGAACGTCTGTTTGCCACACAGCTTATTCTCTGCAATAATAGTGTTGTCGAGGGGACGAGTAAACTGAGCGTGTCGCATCCGAAATATCATTGATATCGATCGTGCAGCTTCTCTTAAAACGTCTACAGTGACGACCCACCTTTTGTTTTGAGAAAAAAAGAAAAAAGAAACAAAGTTCTAATCGACAGAGAGACGCTTTCAAAATAATGTCCATCTTACCAACTCTCTGAAACACAAAGAGCACCTGCAGGCCGTCCGTCCAAATAAATCTGTTAGTGTTCAGCCAACGTAGATTCTGGAACGATTTAAGCAGAAAACATTCAGTGAGTCATTTTTTGCATTTATTTTTATTTTTTTAAATGGAGGTAAAAGACTTCCAAAGTTCCAATTTACTCACTAATATTAAACTTTTTTTTTACCAAAGCTACAAATAAAACATCGCAAGTTTGCAAATGTATTTTATTTCAATGCAATATTAGAATTTCGCTCCCTCAAATTACTTAGGAATGTTACCTTTTATTACTAAATAATTCAATTTAGTAATAAAGGTTGCCTCAAAATGCATAGTGCATTTCACATGTAAATGTATTGGGACACAGCAAAGAATTCTGGCATGATAAATATGATGGGATCATCGGTAATGGGCCATTTCATGTTTTTATTAATTGTTAAAGTGTAGTGTTTATTATTTCAGTCGTCTGCACCATTTAAAAGAAGGATTCTCCCTCCGTGTATCTTCAATAAGATAACAGGAAATGATCACTGCGAGCTTGACCACGGGCCTTTGATCCTAATCCATCTCTGTCCATTCGTGCACAAACAACTCGTACCATAAGCCAGGAGTGGAGTATGATGCTGAAGGTCAAATAGAGAGCAGAGAGCATTAGCGCGGCTCTAAACCGCTCCAGCAATACGGCGACCAGGCCGATCTGGAACACGTAGGTGTTGAACAGCATCAGCAGAATGATGATCAGGTTGAACAGGATGCTGATGTCCTGGATTCTGTGGAGGGAAACAGAAAAGCACCAGAGAGGAGGAGGACATATGGGACAAGAAGAGAAAGATTACCGTCTGTTTCATCAATGCTGCGGCACTCCTAATGACTCTGTTGACACGTCTGAACACGGCTATTTTTAGCCCGGGGTCAGAGATTACGTGCCGCTGCTAAAACCGTGAGGAACTCACATGAAAAGCACCAGCTGGACCGCCGGCTCGTGCCTCAGCAGCTCGCTGAAGGAGTTGACGAACAGGTCGAAGGAGAGCAGGCTGAGCTGGATCAGTAACACCAGCGAGTAGTTGCTGGTTTGGAGCGTCTCCGGCCCGAAGGCGGGGCGCCCGGGCGGACTGTGGCGGTTCCACGCCGGATCCAAGGCTGCAATGCACTCGCACTACGTAAGAACATCAATCCCGCCGGACGGCTGGTCCCAGACCGCTCGGGGGCTTCGGGGGGGGGGGGGCCTTCGAGCAGCCCCGCACGCGACACGACAGCAGGGCTCCAAAACCAAAATGGAATCCTGTTTATTTGGGAAAGATCGGAGTCCTTTGAAAGTGCGAAGCGGAGTCGGGTTCTGTGATGAGCTGCGTGGAACACGCCGGCGTCCACATGTCAGAGGGGGATTTTCACTGCTCACACATGGACAGACTCGAGCGGTTCAGTCTGTGGTGTTGTGAGAAAACTGCACGTTTCCCCCAAACCTTCATGTTCAAAAGTGGAAAAATAAATCCAGCAGAGGCTCTGTGGGGAGAGACAGACGGATAAGTTGCCTTTCTGCTGGAGAACAGATTTACAATTCCTGAAAGCGGAGACTTGTAAATAAACATTGATCTAAATGAGGAGCTATAATTTATGATTCCCTTAAATCAACGTAGCGTCGGCCATTCTCATGTGAGCCGCCGCCATTACGACCGGCTAACTTCCACAAAGTCAAACCCAAATCCCTGGTGAGGACTAAAGGGAGCAGCCGAGTTGTAACCTTACAAGCGTAGAGGGGCAGACTTGAGGAGGAAGAAGAACTTGATGCTCCCTCCTTACTCTCTTTATAGTTAGCTCTGAAGCTAACTACGGCGCTAACTAGCCAGCCAACCAACCGTTTGCGGCCCTGCGAGTTGCTGGTGTGGTGTCACCATAACAACTAACAACAATCGCCATTTTCTTCGCTGGGATGCAGGTCAACGGACGGAGCAAGGAACAAAAGATGATGACAACGGCTCAAACTCCGCTGGGCCTTGAGTTAGATCCACCGTGTCCCGTATTTAATGGGACTATATTGCTCAGTGTTGCTCCAAGCGGCCTGAACGATAACTTTGAGTAACTCGACAGCCGTGTCTCCTTCCATAAATCATCATAGATAATCCACTAACCTCGTTATGAGCGCGGAACAAGGTCACCACACGGTCACGTTATTCTGGAGAGCGATGGATGCCTCCAAAACCGCACCGCTCACATGGAAACCATCGACATCCATTTATAGCACAAAAGGTAAGTGGATTGGCTTTTGAGGGGAACCGTCCCTCTAAGCAGAAAGGCCCCGTTGAGATGTCTCCTCCCTGAGTCCTGGTCAACACTAGCAGCAAGTAGAAAGACGCCCTGGTGCACCAGTGACCGAACCATTAAGTGGACCAGTCATTTGTTCCTTTTGAATCTTTTTTTTAAATGTTTTATTCCCACCAATCGTGAAACTCCATTCCCGATCTGAAGCCGTTATTCAAAACATGAACAAATGAAAAGCCGAATCCGAGTCCTATCGGCAAATGAAGCTTTCAGACTTTCAAAACAGCCCCACAACCCTGATTAATATTACATAAAACTACAGTTAACTCATGAAAACAATCTGCATACAATCAAATTACAGCGGTGCACTGCAACGATATTTAAACACTAGATTGCAGTTTAAGTAGAAAGGCAACTTCTCTCTCAAATGAAATATCTTCTCACCTGAAAATACAGAAATTGGGAACAAATCCTCAGGTGCTCCTTCAGTTCACTTCTCATCCGTCTCATTAAAAACTAACTTTCACTGCTGCTGCTCGTCCGTCTGGTTCTCCTGTGAGCCGGGATCTCTATCCAACACGGCTCCTTCCCTCCGTTCCCGGGTGGATCCTCGCGGATCCTCTCATGACCCCGTATTTATAGCTTGGCACGGCCGTGGCAGGTGTGAGGAAGATTAGGCGTACTTCTGAAGACCAGAGGACGACTTACTGAGAAGAGCCGTCCTGCTGAGATCGTGGGGGAAGGGGGGCAGAACTACCAGCTCCTGGACCACCGAGTTCACCAACAAAGTCGACAATACGTACGGCTGAAGGCTTTAGAAACATTTCTGCCCCGTCTCAGATACGAGCAGGTTTCATTTGTCTTCTTGGTGCCGTTTAATCGCCTTAGTAAACTCCCATAACACCTCGCTGCTTCACAGAGACAAACTACTGCATGAGCTGCTGCATCAAACTGCTGCTGAAACAACAAAAGCGTGCGTACCTGTACGTGGTTACGTGTCGTCGTCGTCGGTCGAAGTGATGCATGCAGTCACAAACAACTCAGGAGTGACAGCTTGTGTCCCTAACAGGGTTACACCCCCCCACCCCCCCCCGCTCTCTAATAGGCAAGAAGTCTGTCCCGACATTGCCCTCGGTTTGTTTACTTCTACCTTGACCACAGCACACTGTTATTGTGACTAAATGTAATATAGAAAGGTAGTTATTCATGTGTCTGGTTTTATTTGATGCACATATATATACACAATTTGTTTCACTTATAAGTAAAGATATGGAGTTCCTGTTTGGACTAAAATAATATATATAATTGAATGTAATTATTATTATTATTATGCGCTGCTTATTTGTATTTATTTAACCTAAATTTCCTAAACCTTTCCGCTTGGTAAAAAAATGATATTGTTTTATGCTATTTTTATTTATTTTATTTATCTATTTTTATAAATTTATTGTAAAGTGTTAATGGATGCTAAGCTTTTTCAGGAAGGATATCTGGAGTTGAGCCAGAATAAAAACAGATCTGGTGGTAAATGTGCACTGCCACACACACACACACACACACACACACACACACACACACACACACACACACACACACACACACACACACACACACACACACACACACACACACACACACACACACAATGCTGAACCATTTACCTGCAGAGAGGTGAGTGTGAGTTATTTTTCCCAGTGCGCTGCTGGTCTGTGGAAAGAGGCCATTTAACAGGTTACCCATCCAAACCAGTCAAAGCTTTTGTGTACACAAGTCAGTCAGGTGCCTTTTGCTCATTCAAATTCATTCTTATGATTAAATGAAGGAGCCTCTGCAATGTTTTAAAGTATCATTAAAGGCTGGTTTATTGAGTGAAGGGTTAAATTCAATGTTTTCAATGAAAAGAAGAGACGTGGCCGATTACTCTCCAGTGCACTTATAGTTAACAAGTGTATTGTTCAAGTTTGGGTTAGCTAAAAGCTGCTAAAAAGCTTCACTTGCTGACGTAAATTAATTTAATATAAGTGAATACTGAATGTCTTTAAAGCTTTATGTATAAGACATTTCATTTATACAGAAATGATTTTAACCGGTGAAGCTAATATATCTATTTGATTAAGTTGTTACTGTTAGAATATCACCTTCTGCCTTGTTTATTTTGCTATTGTTTCTGTCCATTTAAAATGAACTTGGCTACGCTTTGAAGCGCTATACAAATACACATTTTAACTGATCTTTATACAAATAATCGCATTTAATATGATTATTTGATTTTTTTCAGTAAACTTGAAATACTTACATTCATATATATATATATATACTGGGGAGGTTTTATGGTGGTTTATTCACCGTGTCGTGCTCTCTCTTATTTGTCAAATAAGCGTCGCCCCGGGACACGAAAACCAACACACCCAGACGCATGCGGGGCGTCCCGGCCGGGCGGAGTCAGTGGCAGCTCTCCAGGTCCTTCCGGAGCTCACCGCCCGTCTGACGGAGACGCCTTTGACCGAGAGAGGTGGGATGAAAACGGAACATTCTTAAGGACGATCTCATCGCGAAGCGCCGCTTTTTACTTGTTTTAAATATCGCGAAGACATCAGACGACCGCGGGCAGGTAGGTCGGTGTGCGGGGGGAGGGGAGGGGGGTCTTCGGCCGCCATGAGCACGCGCGCCGCGGGGTCGCGTTGACCAGACGAGGAAGTCTTTTTTTTTTTTTTTTTTTACGACACAGACGAACCACTTAGCGGCCTTTTCTTTATCGAACCTCTTTCATCAAACGAGGGTTTTCGTTCATATGCAGCCGACCTCGATAAACGGTGCGTGTTTGACGTGGAACCTAAGCGTTAGCACCCACCTGGGAAGAAAGGTAGGGAAGAAAAAAAACGGCGACGGTGACGTAAACCACGGCACTGCCACGACTGTGATTTAACGTTAAAACGCCGTAAGTACAACTCGGCTCTTAGTTAACGGGCTTTTTATTTCAGGGTCGTAGTTTTTTACGTAGGTTTTTTTTACGTAGGGTTTTTTACGTAGGGTTTTACAGATGCCCGGTTGTTGTTAGCTAACTTCCCCTCGTCGCAGGTCACGTTAATAGAACGTTGCCTCGCGTTGCTAATGACAACCGTGTGTTTTTACGTCTCACGGTGTCCTTTTAACCGTAAGAACACTGAAAATGAGAGCGTATGAATCAGTAATACGTGTATTTAAATCCGATTCGGTTTGTCTAAACTAATAAAAGTAGTGTGGTTTTACAGCGAAAGTGGGCCACCACGTCTTTAAAGGTTCGGCCCTGAATCAAACCTACATGTTGTTCCTTTCACCTGTAGTTCAATGTAGGTTTTGCGTTAATCGCCTCCCAGGAATACTTTATAAAACTGTTGCTTTCCACTAAAATCATGACCCACCTACTCAAGATAATCTGGAGACCTTGAAGGCACTGATTTCTGAAAATGAGACGTTAGTGGTGAATTTGTCCGATATATTTAGCTTTATGTTCCTGTTTTATTTGGCACAAGGTGAGAATCCGTGTCCAATATCTCCAGAAGTCGGCCACTCGAAGCAAAATAAATTAGACCGTAACACAACAGGGGAGACTAAAAATGCCTGTTTCTGATTTTATAGGTGAACTCGACCCTTTGACCAGAATAACCATCTCACACAGGAAAAAGGTTAAGAATGACTTTATTTAGCTTTTGGAATCAGAATTGGTTTCCTGCTACTGGTGTGATTATATTGAAAACTGAATCAAACTCCTAGATTATTTCTAATAACGTAACTTTGTTACGTCCACGGTTGATGGTATAATTCATCCATTTTCCCTCCAACTTGCAAGAAACTCACCAACCTAAATCCATTTTCTTTTACCGAGTCGTGGACCCGTTCCGAGTGTTTCACCACTGTGATCTGTGTGGGTGGACGAGTCAGCCATTATTTTACTAAATCTAATTCATGTCAGACAGGGGTCATGCGTCTCGGGACAACAATCTCATTCCATTCGCCCCTGAGAAATTACAGGAAGTTAAGATTCTCCTCCACCAGTGTCTTGCACTCCTTCCAACGACCACCAGGGGGCGACTCCTCTGGTCCTATAGAAGTCTATGAGAAGATGACTCACTGGCTTTACGTTTATGGTCTCAATCTCTGGTTTCAAGTCTTTAATACAGCATTGATGTTCCAACTGACCATAAATCAGGCTAGACTTTAGGGCGGGGCCACACATTGATTGACAGCGTTGTCTGGTCTGTTTTTTTTAACTGCTGTGTTTTTCTATCCGTCTCTAAACCGTAAAATAAGGAGATTCGTCTGCGAGGTTTTTGTTTGAACTTAATTAACAAGGTCACGCTGAAGTGGTCCCGCTCTCACAGATGGTTACCAGACGGAGCCCAGACGCACCCGCTCATGCAGAGGCCTCATCTGAGTAGTGCACATGGGGAGGGGGGAGGGAGTCGGGAGGGGAGGAAGAGTTTGATGAGGCGGTCGGTCGAGGGCGAGTCTGGGCACGACGCGCAAGTGAGCCAAGAAAATGTTTGGGTTGAAAGAAAAAGACGCATGACTCTGGGAGCCGAGAAGCTTACCTGAAGGTAGCAGGTGTTTCACTGCGATGGGAACCTTCGCCTTTGATTTTCTTTGACTGTTTTTCCTGCTTTTAAGAAAAAGTAAACCGAGTGACACTATCAAACGTTCGATCCACCAAGTGCTACCTCGCTGAAAGTACGCGTTTTGTGTTCAGATGTTGTTTTGGCGCGTGCCAGCGTTGGACTTTGGTGCCTGGCAGGAAGTGAAGCGGGTTGTTATCATTTGCAGCCCTGGGCCGACTCCCGGCTCCCGCTCGGTGCTTAGTCATGGATCTCTCTGCACACGCGTGTAATGACTCGGCTCGGCGATCGCGCCCACGGTGCACATATGACGCCTCCTCCCCCGGGTTCTGCTTCAGCGCGGCAGTATGTTAAAAGCCAAGCCTCCATTAAAACGATTTCGGCCTCTAAACTGCATCCTGCCATGTGCTTTCATTAAAGGGCGGGTGTGCAGCAACGTAGAATTAATAAGCATCCCTCACCACGTGAGAATTAGAATTGTTGTGTTTCCGTGAGCTTCCGTCGAGACGTTTTAATCTACACTCAGCTGCTGTTTGCAGCCTCTCGGCTCAGAGCCGCCAGATCCTAAACACCGGACCCATTTGTTGTAGTTTTAAAAGGACATGGAGGCATCGGGACACATAAACATCGCCGCTGTTATTCCCAACGCTGTCTGTACAAAGGAAGGGGTTTTATGTGTGTGTGTATGTGTGTATATATATATATATATATATATATATATATAGGAGGGTTTTACTTCTCTGTGAGAAAGCATCAGATGTAGTTCTTGAACTTGAGTGTAATAACTTGTGTTTGGCTGCTGTTTGTGGTTGTCGTGACTGACCTGCTGTGCCGTCCCCCTCGCAGCATGGGGGTCTACGAGGAGAAGAAGGAAACGTGCGGAACCATCTGCCTGAAATACCTGCTGTTCAGTTTCAACTTTCTCTTCTGGGTAAGTTTCCGCTCCGCCGTCGTTGGATCTTCCACAAAGTGGTTTCACGTTCAGTTTTTGTGTTGAGCTTCTCAAGCAAATGTGTGTTTATTTTATTAGCGTCTCTGAATCACTTTTACTGGTTATTCTAAGCTTTTACCCACCAATTGAATGGATAAAAAGCCAATGGGTTGTCCGATTGGGGCGAAAAGCACAAGTACACAAGTTTCAAACAGCGTTTGTGCTCAAACGCACTTTGTTTTGAGGAGAAAAAGAAGAAGAAAACGTGCGTCTTAAGTTTCCCTTTTCAACAACGGGAAAGCCACACGTGCAAACTATGTCCCTCCTGCTGACATCATCACTCAGAGTTTCTTGTGGCATAAATAACTGTAACAAATATCTGTCTGAGCTCTTCAACAAAGCGTCTTTGACTCGTCCTCCAGTTCACAATGACCAACATTCAAAGCTTTAATTACCCCCCAAAAAATGTTCCAGTATCACAGACGAGCCGTTCCAGGATGCACATAACTGATGTCCTGATGTGTCGGTTCCGTGTGCGTCTCACACAGAACCTGTGAACTAATCAGCCAATCTAGAACATGAACAACCCTTTAAGTAAACAATGCTGGCCGTTGGCTTTTAAACAAAGCGCCGTGTTTGTGATTGTGGCATCAGAAATAACAGATTAGCTATGAAATACAGAAAAAAGGTTGTGTAAATGCTTGTTGCATGGACACACTAACACAAGAAGCCACCAATCTTCACTAAATAGTCTAAATGGGCCGACAAAAACGTCACAGCGGCTCGTTCCTCCGGCCGCCACTAGAGCCCGCCAAAGTCAAAGGTTCCCTCTGGGCCACAATGTGGAGCTCGGATGAGTCAAATGAACTAGAATATGAATAATAATTCTAACTGTAAATGCATTACACACGAGGTGTTTACTAGATTTACCAAGGATCCGTCTCTGAACATCTTGCCGCATGTTAATGTCCATGTCTTGCGTTTACATCGCTTTCTTTAAGACGACCTTCAGGCCTTGAACAAAAAAAACAATATTTGTGGTTTTCTGCCTCTTTCAGCTGAACTTGTAACATCATAACATTTTCAGATGTTATATGTGCATTGATATATTCCTTTTAATCCTTTATTGTTCCTTTATTGTGACGTGAGGTTTGCAGCAACTCAAAGATTAAGATAATAAATAAAACATACTATACAATTAAATAAGAATAAAATGTCTCCGTCTGACTGCAGCTTCCATCGCCGTCCTCTTAATTCTTTTATTAATTAAGTCTGAACCGAACTGACTGCTTTGGCTCGTGGACAGATGTCTGTTGCAGTCGGCGCTTCACCATCTGCTGACTCGTCAGTGACACGGCATTGATTCGGTTCCCCTCATATTGCCTCAAAGTGCAACCTGAATCAGGGCTGAAGATGTCGGACTGTGACAGTTATGAGCTGCACTGGAGTTTATTTTTTAGAATGCCGGCTTGGTCCATTATTTACACTTTACAACTCAAACAATGGGATCTTCTGTCCTCCATCTCAAAACGTTTGCCCATCCGACCATTTGTCAAAAAGATACTAAGGATCATCTAATTATTATTTCATTTATTGATTATATGCCAGATGTGTTTTCAAATTATTGTTAAAAATGTAAAACAAAAGAAAGAAAGAAAGCTAGTTTGAGTTAGTTGTACGTTTTCATTTGTAAACCCAACAGTCCTGAGCTAAAATAACTAAAAGAGTTTTATATTGATTTACATATTTAACAAAGAAAAGCAGCTGAAACCTGAAAATATTTGACAGAACAATAAATCACATTAGCGGTTGACACATTTTGTCTAATCGCCGCTGGAGTTGTTTTTGTTATTTCATGTATCTATTAAACCCGTCCCAGTAGCTTCGTTCGGCTCGTTCAGAATCTGATCCGAGATCAGTTTGTATCGGTTCACTGAAATCTCCTCCTTTGTCACCTTGAAGCCGACTTGAGGTGAGCTTTGTCAGTCTCCTCCGTACTGTGCCGTGTGTTAGCTTTAGGCAGGGCGCCCCCCCCCTTAACCCCCCAGGGACAGACTAACCACGTGCTCTCCTCCCAGTTGGCAGGCGGCGGCGTGATGGCGGTGGGCGTCTGGACCTTGGTGGAGAAGAGCGACTACATCAGCCTGCTCTCCTCCAAGACCTACGCCGCCTCCGCCTACATCCTGGTCCTGGCTGGAGCCATCGTCATGGTAACGGGCGTGCTGGGCTGCTGTGCCACCTTCAAGGAGCAGAGGAAGCTGCTGCGGGTGGTGAGAGATCACGTCTGTCGGCGAGAGAGAAACGCTCGCTGCTGTGTGAGAGAATGAAATGAACCCCAATGCGGAGAAAACATCTCTAGGGAATCTGCTCACTGGGCCCCCCCCCCCCAGAAGGATTCCTATGTGTCTAAGAGGATAAAGCAAAGAGGACGTTTTGGACCGATGTGGATGTAGAAAGCCGCTGGGGATCATTCAAGCATGATCCCAAGCGGCTTCACGCTCCAGATAAAAGGTTTTAGTACGATGTTAAAAGTAAATGATACATATAAAAGCACCGTGATAAATATGATGAGTCCCAAGAGACCCACTTGAAATATCTACGGCCTGCTAGTTAAAGGCCTGCTAGCGATGGGATTACCTCGTCATTCAAGGACGAGAGAAAACCGATTGTTCCAGATGTTCTCGCCCCCACCGATAGGGAACCGGCTTTGAAAGCCGAATTGAAGAAGTCAATCGATCGTGTCTGTAGCAACAGATGAAGTCACCTCTAGATGGCCGTAGTCAGCTCTCCTTTGTGAATTTGGGGGGGGGGGGGGGGGGGGGGGTTTCCCCCCCTCCCCGCCGGGGGGGTTTCCAAAAAAACGGCGGCCTGGGGAGTAGGGCGGGGGAATACCAGACCCCAGGGGCACATGGGCTCGGGGAGGAATTCATTTGATGTTTAAAAGAGAGAACTCTAATGTTAACGGCGGGGGGGGGGGGGGGGTAGAAACGTGGAGCCGACTCCGTACCCGCGGAGACGACACGAGGGGCGGCTGTGATTGCCCAGTGACCCTAAAAGTCCACAAAGCTCTCCACCAGCAGAAAGAGGCCGAGGCGGAAACCAACGTGGTGGGATAACCCTTCAGGTTAAAGGGGAACGGCCCCCCATCATTGTGCCTCTGTGTGTGTGTGTGTGTGTGTGTGTGTGTTAGTTCAGGGGTAGGAGGGAAAAACGTCTTCCTTTATGGAAAGCGTGCGAACTGAGGCTGGAGACACCTGTGGTGTGTGTCCCCAGTGTGTCCGTCCACTCTGCTCCTCTGTCTCTCCAATTAGATTTAAATTGATGGATTTGTCCGCCAATATGAAATGTCAAAAATGTAGAAGCCAAAGCCCATTTAAGGTAGTTCAGATAGTTAAGATACGAGGATAAGGTGTGTGTGTGTGCGGTGTGAGACGCTCCAACGCAGCGCGCCGCGTCTCCGAGCCGCTCACAGCTTTTAATCAGCCGTCAAATCAAAGCGGAGGGATCTGGGTCACGGCCGTTGGGTCTGATATCGCGTCTCGGAGAGCTTAATTCTGCAGAAACTCCCACAGACCTTCCCTCTTAACTCCCCACGGGCCGGTCGGGAGTCCGATACCGGTCGTTACCGCCGAGCACTCTGGGAGACGCGCCCATGAGCAATAACTCCCACGGCTGCCGTCTTTTGTGTTAAATGAACCGTTAACTAGTTCCACCTTCAAGCCACCACATGGGCGCTGTGGCGACTCCACCTCCTAGTGGGGGTCACGGCTCTGCGTCTCATGCAACATCCTCCTTCCTGCTCGCGGATATTCACTCAACCTGTTGACCAACTCGCAGCGTACAGACTGTCTCCTGTCTCCCTGCTCCCTCGTGTCTCAGATATTTCGTCCGGCTGCTGTGCATCTCTCTCTGGGAGATCCTGTCCGCCATCCGGGGGTATATTTATTATCAGCAGGTCACCCCCCCCCACAGAAATAACACAGAAGCCGCTCTAACAGGTGCCAACTCCCCGCGTCTCTTCTCTTTTTTGTTTTCAGCACCCCCCCTTTTTCTCATTCCACTCCCTTATATTCTCCTCCGGGGTTTTATATATAGTGTTTTCCCAGGGGGTTTGTTGCCATAAAAAAAGACCCCCCCCCCCCTCATAGACATACCGCTCCTCCAGTAAGCGTTTTTTTATCTGCCACTGTCCCCCCCCCAGATTTTATCTCAGCTTTTGTCGTCCCCCTCGCGTGCTGTTAAGCGGCGCCTTTATAAGCGGGTCACGCTCTGTCTGTGTGTGTGTGTGTGTGTGTGTGTGTGTGTGTGTGTGTGTGTGTGTGTGTGTGTGTGTGTGTGTGTGTGTGTGTGTGTGTGTGTGTGTGTGTGTGTATAAATATGAACGTGTGTGTGTTTGAACAGTTGAACGAGGAGCTGAAGCAGAACCTGAGGGAGACGATGACCCAGAAGTACGAGCAGAGCTCCCACGAACACGTCACCCGCGCCGTGGACAAGCTGCAGCAGGAGGTACGGGGGGGGGGCGGGGCTTTCTAATGCGGTCTTTTAATTCATAACTTCACTGTGTTTTAAAATCGCCACAACATAATAACGCGTATCCTGCTCATATTTGGTCCTGTTGTGATTCCCGTTCTGGAAGGAAACGCGGCGTCATTCAGAAAGGAAAGAAGGGTTTTATTTTTACCTCAAACTTTCCAAAATACCTGATATGAACTTCACGTAGAGACACTGGAGAACAGCCGGATGGGTGTTGGTCCCTCGCCGGCTCATTGAAAAGTGACCCACGTGGATCGGTAACCAGCCTCCCATCAGATTAGAGATTTGGGGGATGAGGGCGAATCGGAAACGAATCCTCCGTCTTCAGCGAAGCAGGATGGACTCGTCTGTAATGTAGCGCCTCCTCAGCCCGGAGGCCCCCGCGGGATGTCTGACATCAGCAGGAGGAAACCCGTTGCGGTGTTTTATAACTGGGACCAGTTGTCAGTCAGCCAGCGGAGACTCTCGGAAAGCTCCCACGAAGTCGTCCTGCACTGAACCTCCGGACGCAGCCGGGAAATAAACGCTGTCTCTGTCCGTCTCCCGCCAGTTCAAGTGCTGCGGCAGCAACAGCTCGTCGGACTGGTCCGATAGCGTCTGGATCCGCTCCAGGGACGCCGCGGGCCGGATGGTGCCCGACAGCTGCTGCAAGACGCGCACCGACCTGTGCGGCCGCAGGGACCATCCGTCCAACATCTACAAGGTGGAGGTGAGGACGGCGGGGGGATGTCAATGGGGCTCGGCCCAGGCTGAATTTATTCATGTGTTCCGGGGCGGCCGGTTGCCCCGATGGAGATTTAGCAAACACACGCTCTCACGCGGCCCGCGTTCCGTTACCGGCTTTGACCACGCCCCCCCCTCGTTTGTGCCCCGCAGGGGGGCTGCATCACCAAGCTGGAGAACTTCATCCTGGACCATCTGAAGATCATCGGCGCCGTGGGGGTCGGGATCGCTTGTGTGCAGGTGGGCAGAGTCCTCCGTCGTCGGAGATTAAGATACGCGTGTTTCCATCCAGGCGTTACATCCTGTCCTCCTTCCCCAGGTCATCGGGATGGTCTTCACCTGCTGCCTGTATCGAAGTCTGAAGGCCGAGCCGTACTAAGAGGAGCAGCAGCAGAAAAGTGTGTGTGTGTGTGAGAGAGTGTGTGAAGGAGGTAACTCCATCGACCACATGCTGTACTCAAATAGCCCATTGGTTCTTTTCTTTGACTTTCTACATCGGGGGAGAGAAACATTTTGGCGAGGGGTCAGATCGCTCGTCTGAGGATCTTATTTTGAAAAACATACACGGTTTCTTGAAGTAATGAAGCACTCAAGCTGCAGTTTCTGCTCCATCTGCGAGATCCCAGCGCTGAGAGAGAGAGAGCGAGGGGGGGTGGGGGGGGTTGTTTAAACTCTGCTGGTGTAAATTGGCGTAGCGAAGCCTCCTCTGGACTGAAGCGTCGTCCTTTCCCTCTTTATACATATATTTCTCTTTACGGTTTGCGGACCGAGAGCTGCACCCTGTGGGGGCAAAACGGGCCCTTTGCAGAGAATGTGGCATCTTTCCCTGGTCTCCAGCGCCCCCCCCGCCCCCTCCCCCACACTGCAGCACGACATATTCGTTCCATTGTGGCCTTCCTAGTAAAAAATAATCACTTTTCAAACTGTTTTTATATTTTGTTAATGATGGTCTTCAATGCTTTGAGGCTGTATTTTTCATTTCTTGTGCGTTTCCGTAGCAACGCCTCTGTGTGAGTTAGTGCCTTTTGTTAACGGCAGAACATGTTGACGACGCATAACAAGCCACTAATATTACTCCATAAGAAAGCCTCATGTTTGCTTTTTAATGTTTTATATAAATATATATATATATACACACATATTAAAGGATTTATCCTCTGATGCCAAAGCTGTCAGCTGTTCTCTGTAAGGACCTTCTGCATCTCCTCCAGCATTGTTACTCTCTTGTGATTATGGCTACTAATGAAGATGTTGTTTACTTTTCTATCGTTTTATACATTTATTATTGTATTTAACAGACACCCCCCCCCCCTCCCCACGTGCCTCAAAGCCAACACTGAATTAACCTGCTGTATTTCTGATGATCCAGGAGAATAAAACACTGATTAACAAAAGATTCTTCTGTGCTTTACTTTACCAGCAGAAAGCTGGATTGTTGTTGTTGTTGTTGTTGTTGTGCATCGGTCTGGTTGGCAGTTACTGTGAGCGAACACACGGAGGCAGCAGCCGCCAAGGATCCAGCCCCCCCCCCAACCACCCCCACTGCTGAAAACAGCTGCTGAGAATGTGTGCAAAAACACCCAGAGGCTGTTGAGGATTACCCCCCCCCCCCCTCACACTCTTTCCTAATTCAGGAGGACAGAAAAAGCTTTAATGTGGTTTCCAGGAGGGTGGATTGAAAGGGGGGGGGGGGGGGTCTTTTAACATGTGAAAACACAGTGTTGCTTGGGCTTTAAATTTAGTGGAAAAACATCATCCACAAATAAGCCGGAAGATAATCAAGCGGCTCCGGGCTGCTAATTGGTTTCCGCCCGGCGACGCAGACGCCGCCGAATTAAGCCATTTCTCCCCCGATGGTGGAGATTAAGGCGGAGCAGAATCTCCCCGCCCCCCGCCTTGTCTGTGATGTTGTCATGGTGACCCCCCCCCCCCCCTGCACTCCCTCTCTGAAGGTGCTCCCACTGCACACCTGGTGAGAGCTGAGTCATCGCGGGGGGGACGAGCAGGCGATCGCGTGAGGATGTAACCGGTTGGACCGCTGGAGGTCAAAGGGCAAGGTCACGGAGACCCTCGCGTCTGGCTTTTGGCCGATGTGTCGCTCGCAGGGGGTCCCTTCAGATTCCCCCTGAACGTCCACTTTGAGTCCGGGTTGAACCGACTAAGATTGGGGGGGGGGGGGGGTCAAAGGTCACAGTGACCTCCACACTTTCTGACGTCAACTTCGAAAGCAATTGCTTTTTATTTCGGCAATCAAATCTTGAAGTGCTCGCAGTGGTGTGTGTGTTGTGTGTGTGGTGTGTGTGGTGTGTGTGTGTGTGTGTGTGGTGTGGGGGGGGGGGGGGTGTCAGCACATGGCGTCCCTCTACTGTGGAATGCGGCTCGTCATCCTGTGCTTCACACGCCGATGGGCTCTGCTTTTAGACAGACGACACAAATCCCACCGTGCCTCTGAGCGCCCGCTTGTGTTAACGCCCCCCCCCCCCCCCCCCCCCCTCCGCTCATGAGCCCCGTCATAAATTCTGCCCCCCCCTTCTGCTCTGCTGTGTAACGGCCGAACGCACAAAAGGCGTGAGTTGACAAACGGCGCGTGACATTTACAAAATATCTCATGCACCTCGACCTGTTGAGCCCCCCAGCAGTGAGGGGTGTCGCGCTTCGGCCAATGGGAGGCCTCCTCCCCCCTCTACCCCCCCCCCCCCCCCCTCCAACCCAAAGGCTCCTCGTAACATACAATGAAGATTGAGCTTTATTGCAAGATCATAAAAAAACAGTTCAAATTTAAATCCGCACCACTAACAGCTAAGTGTAAAATAAATAGTGCAGCTTATTATTTCAGATTTGACGAAGCGAGTTTAATGCTAAATACTAAAAGGAGAAAAACTGTAAAATAAAATATTATGTGCAAATTAAAAGTGTTTTTGCTCCCTGATGTAAATAAATCAGCCACAAGTGGCTCGCTGGCTGAGTGGACCGATGGGAGGAGAAACGCAACCAGAGGCTGCAAATAGACACTGCATCGCCCCCCCCCCCCCCCGAAGAAATAAGAATTTAACGTCATGCCGACACGGGCACATCTCAAGAAGAGGAAGAGGAGGAGGAGGAGGAGGAGGAGGAGGAGGAGGAGGAGGAGGGAGGAGGAGGAGGGGGGCTGTAGACTTGTGATTGTCGGCCGATTGTCTTAGCGGTCGTGTGCTGCCAATGGAATGTGAAGTTAACTGGAATAAACGAGAAGACGAGGAAACACTCCCCCCCCCCCCCCCCCCCCCCCCCCCCACCCCCCCCCCCCCCCCCAGGAGGCTGCGCCTGTGCCCCTTATGAAGGACTGATGTTGTTATTTATTCTATTTAAATATATATATATATATATATATATATATATGTATATATATATGACCCTCATGTATGTGTATATACAGTATATGTGTGTGTATCACTGTGACCCCCCCGTTGTCACTGGCGCCAGATGCCCCAGATGTCACTGGGGCATCTGTCGCTGGTGGCGGGAGAAGGGAGAGGGGGGGATAAAAAAATGGGGGTAAAAGCTGCGTGCTGACACGAAGCTTCCCCCCCCCCCCCTCTCACCCTGCGCACAGAGATGCAGCGGCGGCCCCCGCAGACGTCACTCCCCCCTGTCACTCACTCGCCCCCCCCCCAGGCTGCTTCACGCTCACTCCCTGAAGCATAGCAACCCCTCCAACATCTGCCCCCCCCCCTCTCTTCCTCTCTCTGGTCACGTCCGATCAGGCAGAGAGACTCCGAGTCTGAAGGTGTTTGCAGCTCCGAGGTGGATTCTTCGAACCAGCTGGCTTTCGATCTTCCCCGGAGAGAGAGTCAGGTGGATCTGTTCGGGGTTCTGCAGCAGCAGATGTGGCGTCAGATGTTAAGCTAAAACCCGAACGCGTTACAGAGTCAACGAGACGGATGAAGAACGTTGAAGAAACGTGGACGAGAAGCTCCTCCGGCCCCCAGAAGACATCCAGGAGGAACTCGTCTCCTGGAGAGCAGCAGGTACCAGGTCCAGACGCAAAGGTCTGGACCTTCTCAGAGCTCCTGTGCTGATGCCCCACACGCTGCTTTGTTCTATTGGACCTTTTTCACGATGAGCCGAATAAAGGAACTGAACCAATGAGGCTGATATGAAGCTAAAGAGTCTGAGCAACGTTTCTACGTCAGGAGAGAAAAGTGGTTTGATTTGATTCATGACTTTAACATAAAGAGCCAGATGCCACCTTGAACTCCTTAAAATGAAATAAAACCAAATTAAGCGCCAGATTAAGATTCAGAGGATCAACGTTCTACATTGAGGAGCAGAAAAGGGCGTTAAAAGAATACAAATTTCAGAATGAAACCTCCTGTCCCTGAAATAAAACGTATGAATCCTCTTTGCGGCGTTTTATTTTAAATGAAAAGGACAACAGGCTTTTGATAGAAGCTGTCAAATCATTTACTGACACCACAACACAAACTTACAGTTTGACATGTGTATTTTATATCTTGACATTACTGCATCTTAACACGGAAGCAGTGATTTTATTAATTCATCACAGCAACGCATCGTGTTTTATGATGTGGTTTTAGGTTTTGTGTGTCAATCATAAAAGTATATTTAGTTTTTTTGTGGAGTAAAGAGAGTGAAATAGCAAAGAAGAGTACTGAACAGTGTGATACAGGTGATCTGAACGTGTAAAATGTTTCAAAAGTGTCAAAATGTTTAGGTCAAAAAATATAATGGAAAAAAATTAGGTCTAAATATGTTTTGGAAAAAACTGCCATGGAATAACAAGCCCGTCAGGTTGTCTAGAACAAGTATTTTGGGGATTGCTGAACATCATTGGGGTCGTGCACACAGCTTGTTCATCATTTTCACATTCTGAATAAGATCATAATTCCATCTCGACTGCTGGTTTCCTCTCATATTCACCGCACGGCTTCATCGGCTACAAGCCTCCATGTGGATGTGGAGACGCAGCTCGCAGGCTGCAGGGGATCGTTTACGTGTGTGTGCTCCTTTACGGCAGCGTGAGGGCAACACACACACACACACACACACACACACACACACACGCACACACACACACACACACTCTCCTCGTCTCCTTTCTTGCATCGGTTCATCCGCTGAGCATAATCTCAATCTGAAAAAACATTCCTCCTTTAAAAAAAGACAAAGAAACAATTTTCGTGCCTCCACCAAATAAAATAAATCAAAACCCAATCAGATTAAGTTTTAAATGACGTCATACTTTGGATTGCGATGGGTTTTTCAGATTTAGAGGTGTTGAGGTGTTTTGTTTGCGATTTATTTAATATGACCCGGCTTTAATCCTCGTAACGTTACATAAGTGCAGGACGGTAACTGAGTTGTACCTGCCTGAGACCCCCGGCCGGCCCCCCACCTCAGAGCCTCAGATTCAGTCGGTGGGAAATCACATTGTTGACCTTCTCTTTTATTTGTTCTGTTGTTGTGCGTTGCTTTTTAACCCCCCCCCCCCCCCCCCTGCACGGGGAGCCAGGAGCTGTTGATGGGCTGCGCCTCCAATCTCTGTGTATATTGATGGGACAGGAGATGGCGAGGGGGGGGGAGGGGGGGCGGGGGTACCGGCTGTGTGTGTGTGTGTGTGTGTGTGTGTGTGAGGGGTGGGGGAGGCGAGGTGCCGGCGGGCGTAAAAAGTCCACTACTATTTGTCACAGTCGAGTGTGTGCGTGGCTGTCAGTGGCGCCTGCCTGCACGCCGCTGCAAAGGCCTCTGGGAGCCCCGCGTCTCGCTGCGTGCATCTGCCAGGCAGCCCCCCCCCCCTCTCCTCCCCCCCCCCTCACCCCCCAAACCCCCGAGCGCCTGTTGCTTCCTCTCTATGTGTGTGTTTCTGTGTGTGTGTGTGTGATGGAGAGGGCACCACACATGGAGCACTGTGTCAATCCAGGGGTCTCTCCATGCAACGCTACCGTATCGGGGGCGGGGGGGGGGGGCAGCTCCCGGGGGCAGACGTGACCCCCACCTTGCAGGTTTTTTCACACAAAAAAATAGAAGAATAATGAATGCAAGCTTTTCTTCTTCTTCTTCTTCTTCTGTGCTATCGCTAACGTAGCTCCCTAAGAGCTAGCTGATGAAGACGTACCTGTCCCGGGGGGGGTCACGTGACCCTCGGCCTTGCGGGTCGTAGTGTGAAACCACAGGCAGCAGCGTCTCTAGCATCACACACACACACACACACACACACACACACACACACACACACACACACACACACAGGCCAGTGCCTCATCTCTGTGGACACACACAGGTCCTCAGCTCAACATGACAATGATTGAATGAAGTTAACGGATCACAAGAAGAGTCCAGGGCGTCTTAGTCAAGCTGCCTCTTACATTTAGGTTACGTAAGTGAAAGAGAGAGC